AAAAGAACTTAGGCTTGTGGGAGGGGCGATGTGTTGACCCCAATGGGGATTGTACCTGGCTTTTGCTTTGTGTGGTCTTGCGCAGGTGAGTAGCCTAGGGTGGTATGAGCAGGACTGCGCCCGCCGGATGTGGGCGGGAATAGGGAAAGTGACGAGGGAAGGACTTAGACCCCGCTTAAACTATGAATGCAGGATGGGTTGGATGGTCGGATGCTCGAATGAGCGGTAGACGCCGGGATGGGGCTTGTGTGATGATTGAATGCAATGGTTCTCTTGAATACAATGCAAGCCCGGAAGGACTAAGGGCAGTCGTGGATAGGTGAATGCAATGTTGGTGGCTCAGACAAAAAAAAAATATAGCGGCTAGGGGTCCGGGCAATGCCACCCTACCCCAAGGATGCCGTAGGGGCTGTCTTGAGCCACTAGACTTAGTGAAAAGGTGCGTGGCCCAATGGATGACGCTTGGCCTGCGCATGATAAGAAGACAAACCTTCAATAAACACCCTGGACTGCTTGCGTATTGGAAGGAGCAATTGCCTGGTCCGACTTGATCGAATCAAGAAAACGCCACGAGTGGCCAAAGAGCTACCATCTTGACACGAGAGCATAGCTACATCCCCCAATGTAAAGCCCTCTCGCAAAAGGCCCATCCCCATTCATCTCAAAGCACTAGGTGGGGGTGCCCCTGGGACAAACGACCCGCGCCCTGAGCGTGAGCGTGGGCGGGTCGAGCCAAATGGGACCCGCAGTGGGGTCGACCGAGGCTCGAAAGTCCTTCAGGGTACGGCCCCTACAAAAATGGTGGAGGTGCCGGGTAGTGGGTTAAATTGACCCTGACGATCTCGAAGGGGGCGCCCGACGCACGACCGCGTACATAATTGAAGAGAAGGAATGAGGATTTGTGTGTGCTCTATCCCTTTGAGCGAATCAGATTTGAGGGTGGTTGGGCGCATGGCAAGGCCAGGCCTGGAGGAAAAACATGCATGCTTGCACTTTTGATCAGCCATCTCCTTTGGAGATGACTCTAGTCCTCCTTCCCTTGGACTGATGTTCGTCAGGCCGGGGAAGCCTTGGGCAAGCCGCAGGTCGACCCTTCCTCTTCGTGCGAAAGAAGGGTTCCGGTTACCTGGCAGGCGATTGGGATTGCGGGCTAGTCCGGGTTCCGATGGAAATCCCGCGGCGGAGTGATCCGACCGACATGGGTGCTCTCTTTCCTTTTCTTCGGAGCCCAACGGGCTCCGTGCACCCCACTTAAATGCTTGAAGGAACCTCATATAAACATAAATGGTAATCGAGAAGGAACAATCCTGCCCTATGAACGGGCACACAAACAAAGATAAAAGAATGAAGGGAGTTGCTAGACTCCAAGAAAAACTAGCTCCCCTTTGAAGATGCAAAGGAACCGGGCACTATGTATGGAAGTTAGGGGTGAGTGGCACGCAATGTCCTGAGTAACCTGTGAGCAATGGGTAGCGTCGGGTGCACCTGGGGAAAGGCACTTGTGTTATGTGTGCCCCACCCTGGGGCTTGTGTTTGCATGATGGGGATTCGAGCGTCCTGCCTTTCGGAAGGAAAGGATTGGTTTGCGCCGGTCGGTGCAGGATGCGGAATGGTCGTCCTCTTTGAAGTTCACCAGGTTCCGTGTGTGGGGGTCGGGCCACCGGGCTGTCAGGCAAGGGTGGGTCTCGTCGGCTGACTAGTAGCATTCTCACCCGAGCGGTCCGAGCATGGCTCGATGATCTTGCCCAGGTGGGGTGTGAAACGTCTTCAGGCGGGGCGGCTGCTTGTCGGCAGACGACAGGGGGACCACTGCATATGGGGCAAGGAAGGAGCCTCGGAGGCGATTAAAAGCTTCTCGTAGTATGGCTTGGAAAAAGCTGATTCTTGTCGGACCGATGGAAGTGAATGCCTGGACGGCCGGCTCCAATGGCCTTACCGAGATGTGCGGGGTGATTACCGAGATTAACGGTGGGTACACGAGCGGCAAGTCGGGATGGGGTATTCTGGGTAAGGAGTAAAGGGCGAATGCTTTGCCGAGACCTGGGTACCGCGCTCGCGACGGTTGAGTTGTGCTTGAGGTATGGGGTAAAGCCCTGCCAATAGTAACAGTGGATAGACCATTTCCGGGGAAGAGGTCGGTGAGGAGATGACCGACCTGTGTGCAATGTTTCCCTGAGTTTTGCTTTTTGTGCCTCCCTCTGTAAAGTTGCCTGATGAACGTTGGAAGGGGAACTAAGCTTCTAGTCTATTCTCGACCCCTGCCTAAGTCTACACGAGTGAGAGAACATGAGGAAGGGGCTGGACATGAGTCGGAAGAAAGTGGAACTAAGAAAAGAAGGAATGCGAGCCACGGGTGATCGATTGGGGACATGGTAGGGCAATGGTACCTGGGAAATGGATAAGGGAGGTTAGGGAGACCCGGATGAGGGGTCTGAAAACAACCCTCATCTAGAAAAAGGAAAGCAAACCGTCTGACCATGAAGGGCCGTGTGGTGCTCTCATGTGAAAAACAAGACAGGCGCCGGGAAACAAGATGGCGCGATGGTTGTCGCCTCCTGTCTACTCTAGTGGTCCGGAAATGCCTATAGACGTAAGGGATGGGGTATCTGTTGTTCTCCCGGAAGAAGGGACATGGACCGACCTAGAACCAGCCTATGAAACCGTGATGCTGGACAAGAAGGACGCGTTCCTCTGGATAGAGACAATCTGGACTAAGGTCAGCCTGACAAGACTCTCACCTAGCTTGATGGACCTAGAATTTCGGGGAACAGTGGAAGCTCGAGGATAGATCTACCTATCTTAAGAAATGGAAAACGCAATGGTAGTGGGACTAGTATTGGGCACAGCACCGGATCAGCTGTGGGCAGCATGTCAGCGGGCAGAAATGGAGATGGAAAGGATGGAGGTGCGAGTGGAACTCGGGGACCGGAAAAATATGAGACGCCCCCTTAGGACAATGAGATGCGTGCTACCCCTATTCCTAGTGGATGCGGTCTTTGGAACCAGGGGTAGATTGGAGCGGATATGTCGGTCGATGACGCGCCTGAGGTTGTACCAAGGTGCTAGGCAGGACTTCTTTAAACTATCGGTGGAGGCGGGGCCGTTCGAAGGAAACTGGGCGGAAGAATTAGCTGAGGTGTTAAACCTCCTCAGCGCGGATGAAACCTTTGTTCCCAAACCGGTGCATTGGCAGATAGTTTACCGGAACGTGGCAGAGGGGGAAACCTTCTTGGAAGGGGTGAAAGAGATGTTCCTAGAGAAGGAGGAGGATTTCAATGATGAGGAGGACGGAGACGAGATAGAGGACTGGGACTTCTGAAGGGGGGGGCTTACCTGGGGAAAACGGGTTGTCGACTATGTGCAGGTAGGGAACGATGGCCCGGGAACTCGAATTATGGGACTGCACATGGGAACCAAGACGAACCAGAAGGGGAGTAGAGATGTCAATACCGCCAAGCAATGAATGGAAAGGGACCACATGTGATTGGCGGGGGTATGAGATTGTGCCGGAACTATCGTACCTTAGAGTAGAGCGTATCTAGAATCCGTTGAGGGAAGAGGAAGGATGGGAAGAGATTGCGGAAGGAAGGGTGGAATCAGTTGGGACGATCGTTCTCTCGGAACAGGGTTCGCACCTGTTCTGCACGACGCTCGCGGCAGGACAGAACCCGATGTGGCTTTTAGGGAACGTTGAGGCAAGGGCTCGGCAGGCGGGGGAAAGCTTTGCTAACAAATGATGGGATACGGTCAGCAGTAGAGTCGTGATGGGAGGATGGAAGGAATTTAAACCGCCCGGTGCCCGAATCAAGACCTGGGTACCCGAGTTCGTGGCGGATTGGTAGAGGTAGCCAACACAATGGAGCGAATACACGTGAATTGCACATGGCTGGCAAGGGAATTTTATAGGACGTCCTTGAAATATGGGCCCTTCCACGACGATAGAGCCCGGAAGGTCCTCATCATTTTGGACAGCGAAAGGAATGACTGGCAGGAGGTGGCCCCGGAAACCAGGGAGACCATAATCCGCCGTGAGGTAGCAGCAACACCTTGCTATGTGGATGATGTGTTTAAACTGTTCGAAGTACTGTGGTCCGACTAAGCGCAGGGAAGTTGTGGAGCCAGACAAATACGGCAAAATTGCTAAGATTAGGGAATGGGATGTCTGGCCATTATAGGGTTCAGCGCGGATCGCGAGCCGGGAGATCAAAGGCAAGCGCGCGATGGCACGAAGAAGGACGTTCCTGGAGGAGCGCCCCTTGGGCATTGAACCGCCTAGGGAAGTACCAGGTGGGATAGAGGTTAGCCTGCCGGCAACAGGCGAGGGATGGGACCAGGTGGCGGATTGGGTCGGGATCGAGCTTGCGAAAAATATGGTTTATTTGGTGACGAAAGTTGAGTGGCGTGCGGCTGAGAATGGGGAATGGAACCCGGACCCACGGGGGCACGTGCGGGCAGAGGGGCGGTTGTATGTATCAGAAAACGGGTGGAG